GAGGAGGAGGAGGAGGAGGATGGAGGATGGAGGAGGAGGAGGAGGAGGAGGAGGAGGAGGAGGAGGAGGAGGATGGGGAGGAGGAGGAGGAGGAGGAGGAGGAGGAGGAGGAGGAGGAGGAGGAGGAGGAGGAGGAGGAGGAGGATGAGGCGGATACGTAGGCGGAGGCGGAGGCGGAGGCGGAGGCGGAGGCGGAGGCGGAGGCGGAGGCGGAGGCGGAGGAGGAGGAGGAGGATGATGATGATGATGAGGAGGAGGAGGAAGCGGAAGCGGACGAGGAAGACGAATAAGAATACGAATAATACATATAATTATAATAATAAGAATACTAAGAATAATAATAAGCATACTAAGAAGACGACTAAGACGAATAATAAGACGAACAATCATAATAAGAAGAATAAGCATATTAAGAAGAACAATGCTACTATTCATACTACTAATACGAATACTAACAACAATACTAATACTAATATTATGAATGCTAATAATATTAGTACTAATAATCACACTACTAATACTAATAATAATACGAATACTACTGCTACTACTACTACTAAAAATACTACTAATAATAATACAACTAATACTAATATGAATAATAATAATAATGATAATAATTATACTCATAATAATACTAATACTAATACTAATACTACTAATAATACTAATAATAATACTACTAATACTAAGAATACTACGAGGAATAATACTAATATGAAGAATACTAAGACGACAAATAAGAACAACAATAATACTAATAATAATAATACGACGAAGAAGAATAATTAAAAAGAACACGAATAAGACGAATAATACTAATAATAATAATAAAACGAAGAAGACGAACAAGAAGACTAATCATAATAATAATCAGAAGAATAAGAAGAATAATGCTAAGAAGGGGAAGACGAACAATACAAATAATAATACTAAGAATACGAAGAATAAGCATAATACTAATAATAAGAAGAACACGAATACTAATACGAATACTAATAATAATAATAAGAATAATAGTAATAAGAAGAAGAAGACGAACACGAATGATAAAACGAATAATATGAAGAAAAAGAAGAAGAACACGAATAATAATAATAATCCTGAGAATAATAAGAAGAAGAAGAATACGACGACGAATAAGAATAATAATACGAAGAAGGAGAATAATAATAATCAGAAGAATAAGAAGAATCAGAAAAATAAGAAGAATAATAATACTAAGAATAAGAATAATAATACTACTAACAATAATAATAATAATAATAATAATAATAATAATAATAATAATAATAATAATAATAATAATAATAATAATAATAATAATAATAATAATAATAATAATGATAATAATAATAATACTACTACTAATAAAAATAATAATCATAATAAGAGGAGGAGGAGGAGGAGGCGGAGGAGGCGGAGGAGGAGGAGGAGGAGGAGGAGGACAAGGAGGGGGGGAGGAGGAGGGGGAGGAGGAGGAGGAGGAGGAGGAGGAGGATGATGAGGAGGAGGAGGGAGGAGGAGGAGGATGCGGAGGAGGAGTGGGAAGCAGAGGAGGAGGAGGAGGAGGAGGAGGAGGAGAAATAAGGGGAGGAGTGAGGAGGAGGAGGAGGAGGAGGAGGAGGAGGAGGAGGAGGAGGAGGAGGAGGACAAGGAGGGAGGAGGAGGGGGAGGAGGAGGAGGAGGAGGAGGAGGAGGAGGAGGAGAAAGGAGGAGGAGGAGGAGGCGGAGGTGGAGGAGGAGGAGGGAGGAGGAGGAGGGGTGGGTAGGAGGAGGAGGAGGAGGAGGAGACGAAGGAGGAGGAGGAGGAGGAGGAGGAGGAGGAGGAGGAGGGGTGGGTAGGAGGAGGAGGATGAGGAGGAGGAGGAGGAGGCGGAGGAGGAGGAGGAGGAGGAGGAACAGGGGACACATGCTGATGATTCTGATGCTGATGCTGCTGATGATGCTGATGATGATGATGCTGCTGCTGATGCTGATGATGATGATGATGATGATGATGATGATGATGATGATGATGATGATGATGATGATGTGATGCTGATGCTGATGCTGAATGCTGAATGATGATGTGATGCTGATGCTGATGCTGATGCTGATGCTGCTGGTAATGGTGGTGATGATGGTGACGATGCTGATGCTGAGGATGGTGATGACGATGCTGATGCTGATGATGATGATGATGATGATGATGATGATGATGATGATGCTGATGCAGATGCAGATGCTGATGCTGATGCTGATGCTGCTGCTGCTGTTGCTGCTGCTGCTGCTGATGATGATGATGATGATGATGATGATGATGATGATGATGATGGGATGATGATGCTGATGCTGATGCTGATGCTGATGCTGAGGATGCTGATGATGCTGCTGCTGCTGCTGATGATGATGATGATGATGATGATGATGATGATGATGATGATGAGGACGAGGAGGAGGAGGAGGAGGAGGCGGAGGAGGAGGAGGAGGAGGATGCGGAGGAGGAGCAGGAGGAGGAGGAGCAGGAGGAGGAGGAGGAGGAGCAGGAGGAGGAGGATGGCGGGGGACGGAGCAGGCCCTGGCCAGTAGCTGCTGGGGCGTTGTTCTCAGGAGGGGCTTTTGGGTCCGCTCCTGGCCCCACGAGCGCGCGTCAGTGCGCGCACGGTCGCCAGACCACTTCGGGGGACGGCAGCCATCCCCTGAGATCCGACGCAGCGATAAAAGTTGTAATATTTTAAAACCTATGCCTCCTCGCGTTGTGAAAAAATCACGGCGGGAGGTTTTTCGCTGTTTTCGGCCTCCAGGGTCCCTTCCTGGGCCTTTGGACCCTCAAAACACGACTCAGGATGAAACCGTTCCGGGGAAAGGGTCTAGACCTGTGAGGGTCGACGTTGCCAAAAAATCACGACGTCGGGGGTCTGGGGAAATCATGCCTAGAGCCCTGAACACCATCTTTCTGCGCCATTTTTCGAGCCAGATCGTTCTGTGAAGGTCCCAGTCCCGGGGACCCGAAAAAGGCGACAAAGTCCGGCTCGCAATAATTGGGACGCCAGGATCTCCAGACCCCCCGACGTCCGGATTTTTTCATGACGTCGACACCCAGAGGTC